GACTGTGCCTTTTCCATACTGTCCCTCTTGTTTAAGAGCTCATGTGGCTCACGGACATGTGCAATGATCTATCTCTTTTTTCTGATGTTCCATGATATTCTGCATGATGTGCCATTGTCCAGATGGGCTGCCGTTTTTAACTTGTCTTTTATCGGCATGTATTTAAGTCTCTAGGGATTCCCCCCCCCCCACTCCAAAGAGTCCATATTGAATGTATTTTTACATGCATGGAGAGAGGTCTTTTATTCTTCCTGGGGACTGAAAATTCATGTCTCTGACTTATGACCATTTAACTCAAGATTAAAAAAAAAAACGTTTTGATAATACAAAAGAGAGCAAGATATTTAATAGAAACCAACCTTACAATTTTGATTCTCCCCCAGATTTGTGATATATAGTATCACACTGTGTGTGATGGCGAGCCACTGCCTGATGATAATAGTGACACTGATCCTCTATAGTGCATTGTGTTGCTAAGCCAGAACGTTTTTTTTTTTTTAAGTCGGAGGTATTACATAAGTGCATTTTTAATTTACCATATTTTTAACCTAGAATGGGCTTATTGGCATGTAAACCCATAAATCAAAGGACTTCTAACTATAGTCTTCTTAAAAGATTTCTTTCTTCCTTTCTTTCCTTATTTGTATGAGTATTTCATCTGTGTGTACGTGTGTGCATACAGTTCCTGCAGAGGCCAAAAGAAAATGTTGGCTTACCTGGAACTGGAGTTACAGGTGGTTGTGAGCACCCGTGTTAGTGCTGGGGACTGAGCCTGGGTTCTCTGGAAGAGCAGCTCGTGCTTGCACCTGGCAAGCCATCTCTCCAGTCCCTCTTCATACTCTTTTTTTTCAATGTGGTGCTTGAAATCCTGGCTAGAGCAATAAATCAAGAGTAGTAAAAGTGAAAATAGGACAAGAAGAAGTGAAAATGCCACCATTTGCAGATACTTTATGCTTAAAAGACTCTGAAGATTCCACTGGCAAGCTTTTAGATCTGACAAATACTTGCAGCCAAAAAGCTGGGTACAGAATCAAGATACACAGACATACACACCCAAGTATGAACCTAATCAAGGAGGTTCAAGCTTCTACAATGAAAATCTTAAAACACTGAAGAAAAAGTTGGAAGAAATACATGGAGAAGCTTCTGTGTTGGGAGTACTACATGCTTTAGTGCTGGTACCTATGGAGGCCAGAGGTGGCATCAGATCACCTAGAATTAGAGTTACAGGCAGTTGAGAGTCTGGGTCCTCTGGGAGAGCCATCTCTCCAGCCCCACCCAATACTTGGCTTTTCGGAAGCAATGTAAGCAAGGGGTGTAGAAATCCATGTGAAATTACTCATATGTAATTTTCTGTGAGGGCGCACTAATATACAGGCAGTTCATCTGGCCACAGTGTGGTGTGAGGTTTTATTTATCGTTTTTTTTTTTTTTTTCAGTCTTTCCTACTAGACAGTTTTATATGCATGAGAACTGCTTGTAGCAATATTGGTCACATCCAGTTTGAGTGAAACAATCTCATTATCCAAGAGTTTTCCAAATTAGTTCTTTGAGATGTCAGGCAGTATATTTTGATCATATTCACTGTAAGAACCCAATAAATGATGATTCACACAGCAGATTTTATATGAAAGAGATTTATTAGATAGAGATGGAGAGAGAGAGAGAGAGAGAGAGAGAGAGAGAGAGAGAGGAGAGAGTGAGACATGATAAGGGGAAGAGAGGTGGGTGCCCCAACAGAGAAAGGGGAGAGGGCAAAGACAAGAAGGCAAGAGAGGGCAAGAGAGAGAGACAAAGTGGTGGGCTGAACCTTTTAAGGAGCAATGTAACCATGCCTGCCAGGTGTGTCTACTTAATGGGTGACACATGATGACATCATAGATTGCTAGGCAACCCAGAAGCAGGCCTAAATGCTAGCATTCACCCCTCTCTCAGATTCTCCCGAATCCATCCCCTTCCTTACCCATTCAATTTTGTGTCTCTTCCTCTTCTTCCCCATTTAAACTCATCAAGTTCTATTTATGAGGCCCATATATCTTTGGATGTGTGGTCTTCCACTGGAATATGGTTGAACTTCCAGTGGCTACACCGTTAGAGAAAACTGACTCATTCTCTCATGGCATAGCAGTTACTCATATGAACTGAGTGGTTATGGCATAGAGTTTTAAGGAAACCTTAAACCAGATGGTTTTTTGAGCACCTATTATTATGTATAAAGAGTCCTGAAACATCAGTTCATCATTTCACCCCTAATGAGTAGTAATCGAGCCTCCCATCCATTGGATATTGTCTCAGACCCTGTTCCATTGCTGTGAAGAGACAGCATGACCAAGCTAATTTTTATATAATGAAAACATTTACTTGGGGGTTTGCTTATGGTTTCAGAGGCTTGGTCCATTACCATCATGGCAGGAGTATGGTAGCAGGCATGGCAGGTACTGGAACAGTAAGCAGCAGGAGGAGAGAGACTGGGCCTGGCATGTGCTTTTGAACCTCAAAGTCCACCTCCAGGGACATACTTCCTCCTACAAGGCCACACCTACTGCAACAAGACCACACCCCCTAGTCCTTCTAATCCTTTCAACAATTTATTCCCTTGTGACTAAGCATTCAAGTACATGAGCTATGGAGGTCATTGTTATTCCAAGTATCACAGAACCTAGCTATCTCTTTTCAGGAGTTCTCCAAGGTGACCAAGAAGGGGCAAACTGGTCAATTTAGGGATCCTCTACAACTATCAGAAATTATAGAAAACTTTGAAGCTCTATACAACTTGGAGTTGGATGAACTTTACCTTAGCTCTCACAATTCTATTAAATGTATTCATTTCAATTTTTACTAATAATGGCTTAAATGGCCTTTTTGTTTGTTTATTAAATACACACATATATATTTTTATATTTTATTATATTACACACATATATGTATATACATACACATATACATATACATATACATATATGTATGTTGTCTTAGTTAAGGTTTCTATTGCTGCAATGAAGCCTCATGAGCAAAAAAACACATTGGGGAGAGAGAGTTTATTTGCTTTACACTTCCACATTGTAGTTTTTCGTTAGAGGAAGCCAGAACAGGAACTCAAACAGGGCAGGAACCTGGAGGCAGGAGCTGATGCAGAGGTCATGGAGGAGTCCTGCTTACTGGCTTGCTCCTCATGGCTTGCTCAGCCTGCTTTCTTAGAGAACCCAGAAGAACCACAAGGCCAAGGATGACACTACTCACAATGAACTTTCTGGGCTCTCCGCCATCAATCCCCCCCCCCCCCCAAAAAAAAAAGCCCTATAGCCAGATATTAAGGAGGTATTTTCTCAATTTAGGTTCCCATTCTAGCTTGTATCAAGTTGACATAAAACTAACCATCACACACATGCACACACAGGCACACAGTATGTACATAGTAGATACATAAGTCATGGCATGGTTTATACAGGCCTCCAACATGCAATCTTCCTCTCTCATTCCCCTGAGTGTTGGCAATACAGGTATGTACCACCACTGATGGATAAAAGTAGTTTTTCTCTCTTGTCTTCTAAAGTAGAAAAGATGAAGCATGATTAAAATAGATTCTAAAATTAGTTCTCTTTTGTTAGTATAAAAGCAGCGTTGCTATTTGCTATTTATTGGCATATTATAGGCTCGATTTCCCTTGCTGGGTAAATAAGAGGGGACTAGAAATCCAAGGTAAGAGAGTTCTAATGTCTTTATGCATGGAAAAAAAGGGCAGTGAAAACAGTTTCTTGTTCTGCCTTGATCTTTCTTTTCAGGAAAAAAAAAGCACGTAGTTTCGAGTCAAAATTAAACAGAGCTGGGTCTCACTGGTGCCTGGCATTTCGTGCTTCTTACTTTACACTGCTGCCTTGCTATTCCCTTATTCTTGACACCTCTTTGCTCGGTGGCAGAGCTGGAAAGGCACCCATTTCTTTATTTTCCCCCAGGGCTCAACAGTGTAGAGACTTTATAGATCACCATTAAATGTCTATTGTTCTAGGCATGTTTATTCTAATTCATTTTTAATGTATCATGGGGAAAAACTAACTGAAAATGTACTTATCTCTACTTAGAACATTACAGCTAGTAGAAAAAAAAATCCTTCTTTCCACTTGTATATGTACATGGGCACTTGTGCAATTATCCTTGCAGATTCATTCGTAAATATCCAAAGATGACAGTCCTTCCCTCTGATTTGATAGCCACAGAGGTCTGTGTCAGACCTATGTGGGTGTTTTTCTTGAATACCGGTGGCAGGTGTTTCAAGGCCTCATGAACTTTTAAAGGAGAAAACACTGCG